GTTGATATCCTCAAAAAAAAACCCTGACATTTCTTCCTCTTTTTTTTTTTTTCTTCTTTTTAACCAAAATTAACATTGGCTCAGAGCACATTCCTGAGCCTAAAATGTGTTCCTGGGTGATACGGCTCAGAGCAGATGCCAGTTCCTCTTTGAGAAACGTTGTGGGCTTCAGTGTTTGTATGGAGGTTGGGTTGTTTTTCCTTCATTTCCTTCCTCCCTCTCACCCTCCTCCCCTCTTTCATCCACCCCATCTCCCCCCCCACTTCACCAGAAAGAGACATAAAAATAAAGAAATAAATAAATAGATAAAATAGATAAAAGCAAGCCTGAACAGTGCAAAAATAAAAAAATATATATTTTTTCTTCCATTGAAAACGTGGGTTTTTGCCCAGACTCCCCAGCAGGGTCAAGTCAGGGCTGGCAGTACGTTCCCCTCCTGCAATGGGTGAGCTATTTCCTTGGCCAGTTATTCAGTGGCAGAGTCACTTGGCAGAAGGGTTGTGCAAGGTCTGGGAAGCATGGAGAAGGACAAGGGACATCCAGAGCCACCACCCCCCAGAGGAATTTCATGAAACAATGTCCAATTGGACTGTGCAATAACCGGTGCTGGCACCCAGCTGCCGTCATGCAGTAGAGCATGGCTGCCCCAACGTGTTCCACGGGGCCTTCACCCCACCCTGTGCTTTATTACATGGCTCAAAGAGGTCCCACAAGAGCTGGTAGGTGGTCTCTAACATTGGTATTGTGTCTGTGACCCTTCGTCCACTCTAGGGCTGTGCTACTCTCTTCATTTTCCTCTGAGATAACAAAATCATTGGGCTGAAAGGGACCTTAAAGACAACCTAATCCATCCCTCTACCATAAGCAGGGACACCTGCCTCTAGACCTCAAAGCCACATCCAGCTCAGCTTTGAACATCTCCATTGATGGAATATCCACAGCTTCCCCAAGGAACCTGCTCCATTCCCTCACCACCCTCTTCGTGACAAATTTCCTTACATTCAATGTAAATCTACCTTCATTCATTTTTAAACCATTGCTGCTGCTTCTCTGCCCACCAGGTGAAGGAGGCTGGTGGGGCCAATGGTTCTGAGGCTCCAGCTCTGTGTTCATGTCAGCCTGGCCCCTTGCCTCTGCTCTTCCCTGGAAGAGCAGGAGATGCTCAGACAGCTAGGAGGGAGCTGACTTTTGCTTGGATATTCCCTCCTGCCCAGAGATATCAAGTGGAATGAATAATTCACTATCTGATCATCTCTAATCTTCATCCCACAAAATCAGCAGCAAGCTGGGAGTGTTTTGAAGCCTCCAGCTGCATTTGCTGATAAGACACAAGGCTGGAGAGATTGGAAGCCCATAAAAATGATAATCTCAGGCTTCAGCGTAACTTGGTAGAAAGGGTTTCTCCCGTCCTTTCATTAAGGATGGATTTCATGATCTTCCTTAAATAACAGCATGCCTTCTTACGAGGAATCTCCAGCCTGAAAACCGATTGCATCGCCATTAGGAAGCAGGAGACCAATAAGGCAGAGAAAAGCAGCAGGACCGTGGGTTGTGGCAAGTCCATACAGAGCAAAAGGCATCTGCCTCTGTAGGCTGGGAGGAAAGTAAATGAGTGATGAGAGGAAATTCCTGAGTGCAGAGGAAAGATCTGAGCATTAGGTGTCCCAGGGCATTTCCAGTCTCCTTAAACGTTTTCCCAGTTGCACCATTTTGTGAGTGGGAGCGAAGGGCATTAGCACTGTGCCATGCTGCTGACCACTACACCAGCCATGAACCCAACAGCTGAGCAAAGCTCCACCATGTCCTACACCTCCTGGGCATGATGGGAAACAGCTCATCTCATTTTAGTCAGGCTTGCCACAGCATCCTCCCCTCCATCCCCACATTCCCTGAGTCTGGCTATTGCCTGGGAGAAGAACAGAAAGGAACAAAGCCAGCTCATCAGCCATTCCCATGTCAATCACTACCAACATGACCAGGAGGAAAAGAAAGGCAGAGTTGGCTGCTTGGTGGGTGTGGATGATTTCAGGAAATAATTATCCCAAATGCCAGAATAGGAGAAAATTGAAACTGTAAACTATAATCAGATGTTAAGTTGCTTTTCTTCTGCTAATTGAAATAATGTTTTCTCTGCTACCCACCACTCTACCCCTTTCAGATGCTAATCCCTATCAAACACGGCCTTACAATTACAAATTCATAGGCATCTTTCCCAGGAGCAGAAATTGCTTTGCCCTGTAACCTCTAAGATGAGGTCTTAATAGGAATTCACGAGCAGTCTCTGGTAAAGCTTCATTAGCCGGAGAGAATAGGCAAGGGCGAGTTGCTGTGCTCCCTAACCACTCTAGGGAAAAATTAATTTAAATTACTTTGTAAAGTAACAAGGACAGATAATGTGTTTCCTTCTTGGATTATTGTTTTCCAACACCCTAATGCGCTCATAGATTAGGTTACTTTGCCTGTCTTGATGGAGGTCCACACTAACTTGTGGGGTATGGAGAGCTGCATCCTTCAGGAGGAGAAACACCAACAACGCCTCTGGGGAGAACTGGGTGGAGAAGAGGTGCAGATCTGGCTGGTGATCACCGTGGGATTATTGGGGATGCTGGGGCAGATGGCAAACATTGCCAGCAAAACTTCAGCCCAAGAGACCTGTCCATTGAAGGTGGGCATGGCTCTCCCTGTTCATGGCAGGGGAATTGGACCAGGTGACCTTTTAGAGTCCCTTCCAACCCAAACGATTTATAAAGATGACAGCTGAGCATTTCCCTGATGGAAGGAATCTTCCTGGGTTTGGACAGGTTTGGATTTGCTTCCAGCAGGCTGCAACCTGAGCAGTGCTCCCATAGGGCTCAGCATCACAGCAAACCTCTGCCAGCAGCCGCCATCCCTCACCTTGGTTCCTGACCAACTGAAACCAAAAAAGCACTAAAATGTACTAAAAATCAACGCTTTCACCCATGGATGTTGTGACTTTTCGTCTGCCCCAGCCCCTGCTGAGTCTCCCCAGGGGGACTTTTAGCTTTCTTCTCTCAGCACCAGGTGTATCGTTCCCTGGATGTTCTCATGCTGGCTCTGAGCCCTACTTGCTGGCCACGTTTTGTGTTTTCATGGAAATCTGCAGCGTGTGGGAGCACCGAGGAGGAGACATGGGAAGATGCTGTGATAAGAGGCTTAGCAGCAGGGCCGTGGCTCTCCCCACCCTCTGCACTCACTGCGGGATTTCAGTGGGTTATTAACCCAGGAGCTGGCGTGCAGAATGGGCCAGACTGGCAAAATCGTCAGGGGACTCCGGGATCATTCAATAAAGACACAAAGGGTTCAAAGGGCTTTTCGGCAACTGGAGAGCGACAAACAGTGCTGATCATCCGAGCTGATTACATAGGTTCCCAACTGCCCCAGGAGTCCTAGGAGACCATGCTGAAGCTGGGAAGATTTATGAGGAGCTACCTGAATTAGGGAGAGAAGGCATTCATTTCGTTCCTGGCTTCGGAAAGGGGATCGCTGCTTTTTATTTCAGAGCAGAGAAAGGAGGCTGGAGGGTCGTGCATCGAGACAGAGGGAGAGATAGGCGGGTAGATAGAGGGATGGATGGATGTCTCCCAGGCCAGCTGATCATTGTGCTGCCCCAGTTACCCTGGGGAAGGCAAAGCACCCTTGAAACACGGGGTCCGAGCTGCCAGAGCCCTGCCGGCTGCTTCCAGCCCTATTTATTCCCTCCACCATCAGCGTGCTGTCAGGTGGTATCTCTCTTCTCCCTCCCAGCCCCACAGATTCTGCCTGGCATCTGAAGGGAAAAATTACGGGGCCATCGGCATCGAGCGAAACGCTCCTAATAACCTCCACTTCTTTTCAATGAGCTCCAGTTGTTGCTCGACAAGTGTTCTCCAACCCCGGCGAGTGCCAGACAAAAGCTCCCCTCTCCTCCTCTGTGTCGGCTCAACAGCCGCATTATTTCCTCAGCCCGCATCTGCCGGGTGGCAGCCGTGATTTCCATAACACAGGGCAGAGTTTGGCCCAGCTGCTTCGCCTCTGGGTTCTGCAGCATTTGGCTGGCTGCAAAATTAAAAAGGAATAATAATAATAATAATAATAATAATAATAATAATAATAATAATAATAATAATAAAAAATGTTGCTGTTCTGGCTGTGACCCAAGCAAACAGGTGCAGGTAGTGGGGGGAATGGGGGAAATTGCAGCACCTTCTGCCTCCGGTGCAGCCCTATATGGGGCTGAAGTATTAAAGGTGAAAGCTGCTGAGGGTGTCTTTGCCATTTCCATTGCTGTGGAGGGGTGTTTCAATGGGTGTGAAGAAATGGGGAGCATGGGGAAGGGAGGGGGGTGGAAAAAAGAGGAGAGAGGAGAGGAGAGGAGAGGAGGGGAGAGGAGAGGAGAGGAGAGGAGAGGAGAGGAGAGGAGAGGAGAGGAGAGGAGAGGAGAGGAGAGGAGAGGAGAGGAGAGGAGAGGAGAGGAGAGGAGAGGAGAGGAGAGGAGAGGAGAGGAGAGGAGAGGAGAGGAGAGGAGAGGAGAGGAGAGGAGAGGAGAGGAGAGGAGAGGAGGGGAAAAATTCAAATAGGGAAGAGAAAGAGGAAAAGAGAAAAAAAAGGAAAGGAAATGGGGAAAAATTGAAAACTGAAAAGGGGAAAAGGAATAAGGGAATGAGGAAAAATGGGGAAAGGAGAAAAGGAAGAGGGGAAAGGGAGAAGGAAGAAGGGGAAAAGGTTAACGAGGAAGGGAAAAGGGTAAAAGAGAACGGGAAAAAGAAAAGAGGAAAGGGGGAAAGAGGAAAGAAAGGGATGAGACGAGCCCTTAAGATACCGGGCAGTGCCGGCAGCCCCCGACCGCCGTCACGAAGCAGCCCCCGCCCCGCTCGGGCCCGGGCCGTGGCTGCGGCCGTCCCGCAGCGCCCCCTGCCGGCGGCTCGGGGTAATGGCGCCGGGAGGCGGCCAAGGGCCCGGCAGCAGCCGCAGCCCCGCCGGTCCCGGCCCCGCCGGCGGGCAGGAAGCGGGTGCGCTGCGGTAGCTTTGATGCAGCGCTTATCTGCGACGTGGAGTGCCCTGAGCCCGTTCCAGGGAGGCGGCAGCAAAGGATGTGCGTGCAAAAGTGCGGGCATCGAGCACCGTACGTATGTGAGCGAGACCGGCACTGGTTAGGAGACGGGGTGATGGGAGATGGGATAGGAGATAGGTTGGACCCTGCTGACGTACAGGGTAGTGTGAAAGCATCATCTCACGCAGTCTGAGTGACAGAATCACAGAATGGTTTCGGTTGGAAGGCACCTTAGAGCACCCCCAGCCTAACACCCTGCCGTGGACTGGATGTCCTCAGGCTGCCCAGGTCCCATCCAACTTGGCCTTGAGCACCTCCAGGGATAGGACACCCGCAGCTCTCTGGACAGCTGTGCCGAGGAGTCGCCCTGAGTACAAAACTTCTCCCCTAACCCGATCCACGTGGAGTGCTGGGAGGGACAAAAGCAAATCCCCCCTGGGTCTCGTAGTCCCATCCCCGCCTCTGTCCCGGCCCGGCCCGGCCCCAGTCCCGGCACATCAAAGGGTCGGGGCAGATTGAACTGCGCTCCAGACGCTCCCTCCCATTTCCTGCTGGATTCCCGTCTCGCTCCCTTTGCCCGCATCAGCAAAACAGAGTGTAAAAATAGAGGCCGGGCTTCACCAAAACACAATGGTAAATTGTTCCCCTAAAGGTCACTGGGGCGTCTCAGAATAGCTTGAGGAGAGAGGAAAAATCGATGTGTCCGAAGGGTGACGAACCTGAAGATGACGGCGGGACCCCTGACGTGAGGCTCCTTGGAGCCCTGTGTGCTTTGGAGCATCACCACCTTCGTTCCTAACAGGGTTGGCCATCACTGTGAGCCTTATCCCGGAGTGTGACAACTCAGTGAGCCCCAGGCGGTGTTCAGGTGTTGGGCAGCAAGAAGCAAAGGGAGAGGCAGGAGAACCAGGCAGGCCAGGGAGGGATGGGAGGATGAATGGCTCTGCCCGTGACAGCATGCGGTCCCCTGGGCACCCGCAGCCTTTGTGTGGCTTTGTGGGAACCCTGGCAGCCGTGGGATGAGCAGGGAGCAGCTCTGCCAGCAATAAATTACTGCTCCCAGTTGTCAGTGGCTGCTAATAATGAAGGTGAAGCTTTCCCATCGCCTGCATGGGTGGGAATATTTGGGGCCTGTTGTTCCGTGAGCATATTTTAATTTGATAATGTGGGAAGGCACTGAGTAATGCAGGTGCTTGCTTTTTTTCCAGTCTAGGCTGCCCTGGAGCTTGGCTTTTCGAAAGAGGCTGTAGTTAAAGCCAGATAATGAAGCTGGACAATGAAAGCTGCACAAATTTGGGGTGATTTTGCTTTTTTGTTTCTTGTTTTTCTGGCTTTAAACGTGTGCTTCTCCCACCTTCTCTTTTCTTATAGTTTTAATTCAATTTTATCTAAATGCACTTCCCCTCCTTCCCAATTTCATCTGTGCCACAGCCACTGCAGAAGCACAGCATGACATGGAGATTTTCTGTCCCTAGGAGCCTTCGTATGACCAGGGGCACAGGAGAAAGGTGAACCAACAAAATGTCTTTCAATGCCATCCTATGATTTGCCAAAAAATTCCCTACAGTAAGAGATGGATCAAAATCCCCATCACTTCTGAAGGTAATGTCCATAACCAGTTGGCTCCATCCAACACCAACGGTGGTGAACCCAGGTTTGTCTGAGGGCCAGAGCCACCCATAGCACCCAGGCTGTTGTCCTCTGTGCAAGGGTTGGCCCTAAGGAGCTTTTCCTAAATACAGAAAATATTTGGGGCCGGGGCACTGTTCATCACCCATTGCAAAGAAACACCATTGCAAACAAATAAAATTAACAAATGGTGAAGATAAATTGAATTTTCCACCTGGAATGGGAGCATCAGGGGGTGACACAGTGAATGAGTGGCATCACTCCTTCCCAGCACTGTCCATAGAGCTGTATATTCAGTGTAAACATGTAGGGAGTGCTTATAAACCCTCACCTTGGGTGCGTGCAAGGGCTGCTTGAAGGGGGAGGAAGAGGGAAACTTGTCCTGGGCAGGGAGCAGAATAGGATGTGGGAGGGAGAGATAAAGGGTGCGAGAGCTATCAGCTCCATCCGGGACAGAGTGGGGATGGGGTTGGAGCATCTGTTGAGCAGCGATGGGGTTGGCAGCAGATAACACCCAACGCCTCAACTGTGGGGCTCTGCACACCCTGAAGGGGACTGCCAAAGTCATAGGGATGGAGGGGAATGGTGTCGTCCTCCTGCTCACAGCATGGCTGTGGCATGCTGCAGCTGTGTTCACCTTCAACATAGCTTGTAAATGATGTATGTGTGTATATATGCCACCTTCAGCATAGCCTGTAAATGATATACATGTGTATTTATACCATCTTCAATATTGCCTATTAATGATATATATTTATGTATATATAAATATACACACATATATATATATATAAATGACTGATGTCACCAGCTCAACTGTTTTTTAGTGTTTTCAGTGTGCACCAGGCTCTGACATTCGTTTCTTTTTTTTTTTTTTTAATTAAAATAAAGGAGGAATTCCTACAACTACCCACCGTTGCCTATGACTGCCTATTGAGCCTTAGCCAAACACTGCTCAGCTTCGAGCACAGCAGCGTTGTCCCCAGCAGCCCCATCCCCAAAAGAGAGACAAGGCCACCAGTGAGGGACCTCTGGGGACATGCACACAGCAGGTGGCAGTGCCCAGGCGCCCGCCCAACACGGGGGATTGCTCCACACCACCGCTTCCTTCCTGCTTTCAGGATGGGGAAATGGTTTTGCAAGGGATCTGTTGGCTGTTGGCAGCTTTTCCCAGCTGGGCACAGAGCTGAATTGCCAATGGGTGCGAGGGGGGGAGAGAGGAAAGCGAGCGGAGGCTGCTTTGTAAAACTTTATTTAGAAATATTCTTGATATATTCATTATATATATATATTTATATATACACACACATTACAACAAATGTGTTTTCTAAATAGCACATCCACAGTGGGTCGAGAGTCAGGGTACCGGGTCTGGTTACCTTGTTTCTGCTGAAAAAATGCAGAAAGCCAAAGGGAGGGTGGCAGAGAGAGGGACGGGGCTGGGAGAGAAAATAATGGCAGGGGGAGAATTCAATCACACGGTACGACACTGAGCAGCAGTGCTGTTCCAACAGAACCGGGGCGATGTTCCACACACGGAGACGTGAAGCAGGCAGGGGGGAAGGTGGGTGGATGGGGGAAATGTACCATTCAATCACGATTAAAGGACAACTGTACATACCCCGGGAGGACGGCAGCGTGCTATGGGCAGGTGTGCGTGTGGGGACCGAGGAGGTTGTACCATTGGCCAACTGTCCAGCTACCAAAAAGGGAGAAATTAAACAAAAAAAAAAAACAGCAAAACAAACCAGAATTCTGGGGAATGAGGAAAATCTCAGAGTGTTGGTGGCCTTTTTTCTTGCAGTAGTTTGACAAAAAGTGAATGAGGCCCCCCTTTCTCCTGCCCCCCCAGGTCACCACCCAGGTGCCCATTCCCAGGGACACCAGTGACTACAGCAGCCCCTCATGCTCAGCACTGCCCCATGGTAACTCCTTCATTAAGCTGTCCCTTTACGCAGGGTCTGGATACAGGAGGGCACTGTCCTCCTTCTCCCCACTACACGCTGGGGGATGCTGTTGGTTTCTGACAACTTGGGGCTGAGCTCAAAGCCCTGGCTTGGGCTGGGAGTACATCCCACCCAATGCACCTGCTCTACACTGAGAAAAGTCTCAGCCTATTATTTACAAGAGGCCCTAAAGCCAAGCCCAAAGGCTTTCTCCCTTATGAAGGACATTGGGTTGTGGTGTAACACTACAATTTCTTTGCCTTGGAGCCTCTACACATGAAGGAACCAGAAACAGAGGAACCACAGAGCACTGACACTTGGTCCCAAACCAGCTCTGCAGAGCCTAAGACCTCGGGATGATCCCATCAGTGCTCTTAGCATTCACCCCAGGCCAGGAGATACAACAAGGCTGTGGCTCCTACCAGCCTCAGCCAATCAACGGCCTCCTACTGTCTAATTGCATCCAGTCTGTGGGTGCTTGCAGGGGTGCACTACCACCACTACTTTCACACAACAAAACCAAGAAGTTCAAAGCATACCACTGAAACCCTTTTATAACCCTATGTACACTCAAACTGTTGATGCATCATTGATTCCTTTCACTTTTTTTTCATTCAAAAAAAGTCCCTGGTTCAAGGGGAGGGCATCGCTAGTCACCTTTTCTCTCCTTTACCAATTCTGAGTTTCATCTTCCTTGAGAGAAGCTCAGCCCTACAGAAACCTCTGGGGAAACTTGAGGGAGACCACTGCAGGATCTCACCTGCTGTGTTACAGCACAGGGAAGGGGGCTCAGGGGGTGGTGGGGAGCACAGAACACCCTATGTACCTTTATGTTCAGTGGATACTGCATGATGGCGTTGAACAGAAGGAATCTCACGTCATAAATACAACACCCCAAACTATCCAACTTTAGGTAGAAGGGAAAGGGGACAAAAACAATTAAAAAAAAAAAAAAGAGAGAGAGAGAGAGAGAGAGGAAAAAGAAAGTCTCAATCCTTTTAATAGTTCTTTTGCTGAGGGTATTTTTCACCTCATTAAAAAGATACAGTCAGAAGGTCTTGGTCAACGGGAGCATGGCTCGGACCAGTTGCTTGTGCTCCACAGCCCTGTGTTTCATTCCTCACGTCCCAGCCTCAAGACTGCTTGAGAAGTGACCCTCAGGCGGTCCAAAAAACCCTCAGAATGTTGGAGGGGTGCTGGCTGCATTCCCCTCCCATCCTCAGAGTCAGTATGTACAACGAAGACGACTTGAACGCTTTTCTTCTTCGTACGATCCCGTACCTAAACACCGAGCGTCCATCCCATTTGGTTGGCCAACGTGCCAACCTGGGCCGAGCAGACGGGGAGCCGAATGTCCCAAATCCCACCCACCTGGGTCTCGCCACCCTTCTCTGAGCGCTCGGGGAGTGATTTGGGGTCATCACCGCTGCGCGCTGCCTTCGACAGGGAGGATGGCATGGTGCAGGTTCCGTGCGTGCTTGGAGTCGAGCGTGTCGTGCTCCTCTGTGAAGCTGTCCGGGCTCGCTGCTCCATCCAAAGAACTTCCACAGCTGGAGTTCGGAGACAGCATGTCCTGCAGGAGGTCTTCCTGAACTATCCCCGAGTCTTTGTTCACTTTACCCCTTTGGTTTCCTTCCTCCTCCTGGTCGTTGAGCAGCTTGGCCAGGAAGTTGATGTATTTCATAGCCAGGCGCAAAATCTCATTCTTGCTCAGCTTTTTGTCGGGCGGGTGCGTGGGGATGAGTTTGCGGAGCTCCGCGAAGGCTCCGTTCACGTTCTGTTGCCTCCACCTCTCCCGGCTGTTGGTGAAAATGCGGCGGACCACCTTCGTGTGAGGACCTGCAATTGCAATGGCACACAGTTATTAGCAGTGCCCATAGCACCACAGGATCGTTAAGGTTGGAAAAGATCTCTGACATCACCCAGTCCAACCATCCAGCTACCACCAGTAGTGTCCAAAACCGCATCTCTCAGTCTCACATCTCCATGGTTCTTGAATCTGCACCATCTCTCCGGTCATTTAATAATTTGCTCATTTCTCAAGTTTTACTCTATTTATTTTAGTCCCATCATCAAGGCACAGGACCAAGAGTTTCCAGCTAGCAGGAAGCTAACCAAGAAGCCGCAACAGCCACAGCTCCTGTTCAATGGAAGGGAAAAGTTGAGTTGCACCTTTCTAGATGCCCCCTGAGATGCCTAGATTTAGCTCTCCAAGGAGGGTGGCTCACCATTACATGTATTTTTAGGGTATCTCAGCAACAAAGACCCTATCAAAAGGCTAGCTCACCAGATGGCTTTATTTTTCTATCCCAAAAGTCACACCACTGGGACAGGGGAAATTGGCATGAGCTGAGGATTTAACAGATCCAAGATCCCAGGGTCTTCCTTCTGCCCTGATGTCACTAGGATCAGGAGATCTGACAGAGATCACCAGCCCTCCTGGTGCTTTGTGTAATGGGGCAGCAGGACTCACCCTTGTGTAACACACAGTGGAAGCAGTGTCCTCAAGGGTGACCATGGGAGGAGGACAAAGCAGCTTTCCAGCTGGCCCATGGACCTCCCGCTCCCTCTTGCTCATCAATGCAAGGATTCTCCATCAGACAGTGACTGGAGAAGGGTCTCCCAATTGCCAGTGATGACCATTTGGCTCTGCTACTGCCAGTGCCAGCTAAATTTCTAGTTTTACAGCCATATTCCTGTAGGGCATGTAACAGGAGGTATTCCTGTGCTCAGGAATGCAATCATCCATTCTCCCTCTATTGGTTCTGCTTGCAGCTCATCGAGGCAGCTCCTGATGGCATGAGGTGGCATTGCCTCTATGCTGGGAGAGACACAAAGCAGAAGTCTGCCCAGAAGTGAAATCAGGACTGCAAGTCCTTGGATCCACAGAAAGCAGTGTGTGGAAGGAGACACTGCCATCAGCCATCTCCATCCTCACCTCCAGCACACACTGACAATGGAAGGATGCAGCAACCTCAAGAAACTACGGGAGAATGGCCATGCTGGAAGGAATAGGGAGCATCACAGGCAGTGAAAATCACCACAAATGTGTTCAATTAACAAAATGAACAAATGAAGTGTTCAATTAACGTGCTGATGAGTTGCACCCTAAAGGATGGGCTGTGGGATTCCCATCACACACCATCTCTTCTCTGTGGGGACCAAAGGGACTTCAGCCACCACAGCTGCCTGGCTCTGCTGAGTGCAGTGACAATGTGCTGTCATCTCCTACAGCAACACAATTCCTGCTCTTAAATGCTCTTTCTGGACAAAACAGAGCACACAGTCCTGGATTTAGGAGGTGCAGCTTAACATCTTTTTGCACTCATAAAGGAATAAGGAAAAGAAATGTGGATCGTGTTAATTATCCAAAAATCTCAATCTTCACAGGCTTCCAGCACATCTCATTTACAGGAAGCTGCCTACTAAGAGGCAATGTCTCACGAAATGCTGAAACCAAACACTGACCTGTCCATTTTCCTCGCTAAACAAGATCAAGAATACAACAAATTCTGACACCACTACAATGTTTGATTCTTCCATCAGTGCCAGCAACTAAATTAACCATATTCTTAGAAGAACAGGTTTGGGGCAAGGTGTGTCAAGCAGTGGAGAAATTTAAAATACCCCTTAGCTGTATGGAAGCTCATGGAAGATCTTCATTTCTCATAGAGAAGCCCCCTAATTAAGCCAAGCAGTTGGCTGCAAAGTTATGCCTGGATTTTGTTCCAATCGATGGATTGATCCATGCTTATTAAATTGTGATTGTAATTACAGATCCAAAGAAAACCAGCAAGAAGACAAGCTTCCAAAATTACGGAGTATCCTCTCAGATAATTTTTCACATCTCTGTCTCCCCGTGTATGTTTTGTACAGAGTGGCACCATCACTAAGTGCTGTCCCCTGCAGTGTGCCATCACCATCAGAGCCCATGGGAGCACAGGGACAGCCCAGCACTGGTGACACGTGCTGACTCCTCATGGCACCATCCGGTACTTGTATTCCACCTCAAATTGATCCTAATTTGGCAAGTTTACATGAGGTGGGATCTGCAAGATTCAGCCCTACTTATAAACACCTGGAGCCAAAAATTCAGGTACGATCAAATATTGTCTACTTATTAGAATACAGCATGTCTATTTCTATAACCATAGAATCGCTGAGGTTGGGCAGGACCTCTTAAGACCATGCAGTCCAACCACCAACCCACCCCCACCGTCGGACCCCGCACCTCAGCACAGCCCCCAGCACGGTGCCTTCCTCTGCCGTTCGTCTCAGAGCGACCTGTGAGGCCGGCTGCCCCCAACCCAATGGCACCACCCACACTGCACACAGATCTGTGCTGTGCCTTCCCCGAGCGCGAAGCACCCGCCGCATCCCACCATGTTCCCCCTTCACGTTTTGGGTTTTTCACCGTACTCACCGTCGGTGATCTCCATCTCGTAGGGCGACGGTCTCCTCTTCACCCGGTTGCTGCCGTACATGGAGAAGGAGTCCGGCTCGCCGAAGAACCCGCTGCAAACAGAGGCAGAGCGGCGTGAGGCGGCCCCGACCTCTGGGGAGATGCTCAAGGACCCCGGAGCCCACGGGGGATGGAAGGGACCCCCGGCGTGGGATCCGCGCTGTGCCCGTGGGGCCATTTTCCATCCCTGGGGCTGAGCGGAGGAGCTCGGGGAGCACCGCACAGCTCAGCCTCTTTCCTCCCTATACCCCACCACAGGACCACAGCGAAATGCCCCATATCGGCTCAGCCCGTGGTATTTCTGCCAGGCTTTTCCCCCCCTGTGGGAAAGACGGATTT